TATGAATCAATTTCTCCCGTCATCTCTTTAAAAACATACAGGCAATAGGCCTCCAGTGCATATTCTGATATTATTCTATAGGGTTTTAGTTCCTGACAGATAATTTGAAGCCAGTTTTGTCTAGTACGATGGTACGATAGGGGAAGAGGTGGAACATTGACTTGTTTACGAAAAACAAGATAAACCCGGCGGAGCGTACACGCGGCGCGCACGCGTTTGTCGCAAGCAACATCATCATTAGATCATCAATTATGATATCAAACTTGAATTTACTGTAAAAAAAGTGTGGGTGGGTACTGTTTATGCCCTAGGGCCTAGGCCTAGGTATAATAAAAATAGATTGTGAAGAGTGAAGAAAGCGGCCCAAAGTTTTTTTTACATGACTAAAAAAACGAAGCAAACAAGAAGATGAATTGATACGTTTCATCTATTCACTCGTCCTAGGTAAGTGCACTGTCGTCAGCAGTCAGTTGAGAAGGTGGGGGACTTGTGAATTGATGATCAATATTAATAATAATGCACACTGTCAGTGAGTCTAAAGTAGCAATAAAAGTGTGATATATACAGTAGGTAGCCTACCTAGTACTTTCAACCACTTTAATTCGATCACTAATTAACACTAATTAATACTGACCAGTCTCACATATACACAAAATCGGATGACTAAGCTAGGCTATCCGATCGTCCCACATAAATTTTTAACACAAAGATGTTGAAATTCGCCCTAGGGCATAGGCTAGGCTACGGTTTCCATATTTTCAAATGAGGCTTCCAAAACCAACGAATCTTCTCGTTTTTCTAAACATAAAGTAAAGTAAACGCGGGGTTTTTTTCCCGCCAACTTATAATGAGCTTGGTTTGACTGTTTTTTGATTAAATACATTTGATTTTAATAATTTTTAGGCACCTCCCCCCTCCCGGGAATGGGAAAGGGTCCACATTTTAAAGACAGTCGAGAATGTACTGAATATTACTAGGCCCTAATAATAGTAATAACCCAGGCCTAAGGATAAGTTATTTTTTTCTGTGTTTTAATTTTAACCATTATTAGGCCCTAAAAGTAAGTAAAAATGTGTATATAGCGATATACGGTACCGGTACATTATTATTTCACTGCCCAATGGCATAAGACAGATTAATAAAGTCTAATAATTTTGTTTTGTTTTGTTTTTGTTTATTAATCTGTCTTAATTAGGCCATTGATTGGGCAGTGAAATTGCCATAGATGAGAAATGTTTCATTACTTCGATTGAGGAGATAAAAACAATGCGATTTTGTAGAAAGGAGTGTTTTCTCATATATCTTTAAAAGAGCTTTTCTTATACTGTAGTATAATGTAGGCCTATGTTTGTATGTTTTTTTTATCCAATCATCTCTATTTATAGTGTATGGGGGTTCTGCGACACTGACGATTGCTTGCCGTGTTAATTGACGGCGGTATGGACAACGTTCATGACATCGATTGTCAAGAAAGTGAACATCGATCCAAAAATACATTCTGGAATAGGATTTCGAGATTCTTCTGCAAACACATCTCCTACAGGGGAAGCACTGGCACTGACCAAGCCGAATCCATTTGTACTAGTGCTGCTAGGCCTAGTGTTTACTACCAAAAATCATCAAGAGATGACTGTAGGCTTACCGAAAGAGTAAGCAATGGCAAAAACGAAGATGGAAAAGTATGTCTTCACAAAATGAAAAAAGTCACCATTATCCACGACGGTTACCCACCATATGTGGATGGATATAGTAAATCCAATAGACATTCGAAAACAGAAAAAGAGATCTTAAAATATTCGGGCCATGATGATCAACAATCTTTGAAGGAAGACCAGAATTGCACTGCGTTCTCGAAGAGCGGTGCGTCTCCTATTGAGCAACAAAGAGTTCGAAGGAGTAATTTTCTGCGTGATACAAGTCGATTGCACGAGGAAATATGGGATGCACGGATGAATTATCAGTCTGGTGTGATTCCACAAAAGTCGTAGACGCCTAAAACAGTTAAAATTCCATGTTGAACATGTTTAAACTAGACTTCAATAATCGAAATACTGACTTTTAAATGAAATCCCGTACGCTTATTTCTGACCCATGCTCTAATGAACCTTTCCTCTAAGCCCCGCCCCTTGGATACACATACACGCGTGTTTGTGGGACAACATGTGTGTATGTGGGCACGCGCATTTTCCTGGCCCTGTTCTGATTGGTCAGCTGTTAATTTCATTGACACTCCGGAAAGGTCCATTATATAACAGTGATAACCCATCTTTAAATTGACCAGTAAAAATGACTCGCTATACTACATGTATACTATTGGTATTTACTGGGTTTCTATTGAAGTTCTATGGGGAGGGGAACTCCCAGACCAGCTGTTTGATATCTATGCTGCTACATGGAATGATGATAGAAGATGAAGACAATGTTGTTAATTTACATAAAAATGCCTACGGATTGTAAAAGAAAATCTGATTACAATCCGAATTCCTTAATGCCCTATTTTTGAGCTGATGAGGGTTACTTTAGATTTAGAGCGCTTAAATTTTAAAAGACGTTGAATTTGTGTTTTTTTAAGTGTTTTTAAGGCCTGGTATTGTGCGAAACGCCGTCTGTTTTGGCTTTGCTAGAACTAACCTCGATAAAGTTCAATAATGTACACGCTCACGTACGTAATGCAAGTCAAATTGATCTTTGTATTTACAGTATTGTAATTAAGAGAATTTGAATTTAATAAAATATCTTGTATATTAATAATCTATTATTGAATTGTGTATATAATTAAAAAAATATAAGCATTGAATTATAAATTAGTGTATTTACTGAAATAAACATTAAACTATTTAAATGTAAATACTTGTCAGATTGTTGTTTTGTCATTTTTGATGAGTGATTATTAATGTACAGGTTCTGGGACTTATTTTTTTCTAATATCAATTTCCTTTTTCTTTCTTAGGCTATTATAACAACTTTGTCGTCATGGGAGTTTGCTCAGTTTAACTTACTGGTTAGGTTCGGCAGTCCGAAAAATGTTAATGGATTATATTTGGTCAGTTGTGACAGATAATTATAGTTATCTTTGTTGGTAGCGAAACCATCATCCTTAACATCCTTCTTGTTAAGATCATTACCATCATCATCTAAATACAAATAGATACTGTGTACTTGCATAAAGGGTCATTGGTGGTGCCAAAATTTGCCCAATTGAGGGTCCAAAGTGGGCAGCGCCAGCCCGGAATCCCTCAAAAGAAGGATCCAGTGGCAATGGTGGCACTAGCGGACAGGCCTGAACCCCATGTCATCCGATGCCACAAGGTTGTCGGACCAAAAATAATAATTTTCCCATCCCAAATAACATCATTTTGATTGCCAATCCCTAATACTGTGATCTAAAAAGCACAACTTGGGCTATAAGTCATTAAAAATACGCTGCCAGTAGGAGCATGTGTCTACTAGCCTGGTTCTCACGAGAGCCCTAGTTTCCGGATCGGGAGCTAACCGTTAGCACCTGCGTGAGAACGCCCAATCGGTTAGCGCTAACAGTTAGCAAGCGCTATCGGTTAGCAAGTTGAGGGCGTTTCTATAATCAACCAATCACACGTACGCGTTAACAATTTCCAGTTTCTTATTGGCCAGTGATTCGATCATCATATTGTTGGTAGCCGGATCGGGATTTTCTCGCATGGATTCACGGCGGCTAATGGTTACCAGGATCCGGATCTTGCTAACCGTTACCTGCCGTGTGAGAACATAGCCACTGTTTACAAGCTTTTTTTTTGCTACTGTAGTGACTTTTTAGTGAACTTTCTAGGTCTTATCTAGTTTTCTGTCTTGTCAATTCAATAGACCAAATTAGTCACCAAACCAAAGCTGTTACAGTGGGTAATAACATCAAAACAAACTACTAGGTGGCAGTTTTTTCACACCATAATAAGCCTCCGCTAGAGTAAATTTTGACAGTTTTTAAACTCCATAAACTTACTAATTTTATTTATACATTTTTGTAGTAAAAAAAATTACCGAAAAGCTTTACTAGTCCCACGAGCAATTGGCCTAGGCCCCCTAGAAGCCTCTCGAAACTCTTCATATATTTAGTCTGAATGTAAATTTAAATCAAATCAACCTTAGTCTCATGAATCTATGAATGATTCAAAATGCATATGTTGTTATAAAAAGTATCTTCTATGTTAAATTCATTACATTTTAGACAATTTAATATACACCACTTTTGCCTCCGCTCAATGCATTAGCATAGCTCTTTCGCCAACGTTTACAAATTCATACCCACTTGGCAAAATCGCGATGTCATCTTTGGTGACTAATTCGGTCTATTGATAACTTACTGTAGGTCAGGTCTTATCTAGTATGGCATATTTCGTAGACTTGCTTTTTATTTTTATCTTTAGCTGGTACTGGTACTGGTACGGGCATTTATAATGCGCCTCTTCCTTGCAGTTATAAAGCGCAGTTCCTTTCCCTGGTCATTGGGTCCACATGCTAAATGTTGCTGCTGGTAATCAACGCAGGAGCAGGCAACCCCACCAGGTACCCATTTATACTCCTGGGTGGAGAGAAGCAATGCAGATGTCTTGCTCAAGGACACAAGCGAAATGCACAGCGAGGGATTGAAACCCCGACCTCGAGGTGGGGAAACCAAACCGTCCCCGCTGCGCCAAACTGCTAATAGCTCATGACTCATCCCATCATTCTTCCCCTGGATTTACTCTCATAGCCTCTAACGGATTTACTCTTACAGGGTGAACTGCCAGACGACAACATGGTGTCTACTGCACCCCCGAAGGGCCAGTTGACGCAAATACTCTTCCTGTGAACAGTACCCAGGGATTGTTATTCCGTGACCCTGACTGAGGCTCTAGACGGCCCCTTGTTTGGACCTGTCAGACCCCTGTTGGCAGGTTTCTGGAGCCACCACTCTCCAGTGGGTCTATTATGTATTGTTCCATGATCTCCAATGTTGCACAAATGAAGTAAATTAAATTCCAAAGTTTGTTTTCCTTTTCATTATCGATTTATTTTATATCAAATGAAGATTTAATTCTTCTGAATCTATATAAAAACAAATAAAATTGATTCTTTAAAGTTTAAATTTCTTTGCAGAAATCTGAGATATATTGCGCTTTAATCGTTTCTTTGATCCATGTATCTCAGTTTGTACCTCCTCTTGAAGTCGTGTGAAGAACGTCTTTGATGAGGTCAATGAACTCCTGTTGCTAGATTTCTCCTGAATTTAATACAAAAAATAAATTATTACAAGAATAATTTTGTATTGGCTACTCAAGGTGCTAGTTAGAGTAAGACTCAACAAATTATTATCAGTCGATTGGGGTGCCAATTGCCAGGGATGAGAAAAGTGGGTGGATGATAATCCAGGACAGAAACCTAACTTGTAGGCCTCGTAAACACTTCTTTCATCAGAACACACGATCGGGAAAGTTTTCTTACACTAGAACTATCAATACTTATGATATATAATAAACCTTTTTAAAAACCAAAATCATTAGGCAAGTTCAGAAGAGTTATTTGCATAGTTACTTCTAAGCTTTGAAAAAGAGTAAGCATCATGTGGACACTCGTCGGAAGTAACACGCATATAAAATTTTACGTCTGTCATGGCTGTCTGAACGTAACTAGAGGTTTAGAGAGGTGTATTTTAAGGAGGTTTGTTTTAGATGTGAACATAATCCTAGTGTTTGGAGGATTAGACCCAGTGACTATAGCATTTTAAGCACAAATCTACCGATAACTTCAAAGTTAATCATATTATCAATAGTTCAACAACAACAGCAATAAAAAAATATCAGCAATAGTAATAATATTAATATTAATATCATTACTGTTATGTATAAGCCTTACATAGCCCTATATTATGTGGGCTTATATCAGGGACATACAAAAAGCAAACAAAAAACTGTACATACCTGTACAATCTTGGTTCTATTTGAGAATCCTTTGGCCTGCTTTTGTAGTTTTTCCATTGATGCTTTCTTTGTTACTGGATTCATCTTTCCTCTATTCAGCTTCTCTTTCAATTTCTTCTGTTTAGAAAGAGCTGTGATGTGTTGACGTAGTTTCTTCTTCCTTCTTTCCCGCTTTTTGTCTGTGTCTGATTTTTCTTCCTTAGATTTTATCTCTCCACTACCCACCTTCATCTTTAAATCAAAATAAATACGTAAGTAAAAACAAGAAATAAATAAGAAAATTTATAATCCACATAAGGCAAGACCTTTTTTATTCCTTGTTTCGTGTACTTATTTTTTTACAGATCATCGGACGAGGGCAGAATAAAAATAAAAATAAAATTTTGTTTTCTTATTTAGCAAATAGTTTTGCCAAAAACTTCCAGACAAAGGAGAAAATAAAAATAAAATTTTATTGGTGAAATGTAAAATAGGATGGTTTTAACCATCCTATTTTACATTTCACCAATAAAATTTAAAAATGTTTAAATTTTAAATTAAAAATTTTTTTTTAAATATTTCTTCCCAATTATATAAATTTGAAGCATTTAAAAATGCTTCAAATTTATATAATTGGGAAGAAATATACATATTTTATCTTTGGAGATTTCAAGGGATGGCGTAATAAATATTAAAATTTTTTTTTTCCCGAAATTCCCATTTCTTGTTGTGCGGGTGCGCTAATTGGAAAAAAATAAAATTTTATTTTTATTCGAAATCATCAATATTTGCGTTTGGCGGGTTTCGCAAAACAAGGTATAAAAAAAGTCTCGCTTAATTAGAACCAGAACCCTGCGGGTGCGTACGTTCCTTTGTACGTAAAAAATCAATGTACATTTGTGAATTGCAATAACTTGATTGTATCTTTTTGAATAATGATTGTGTAAGGTAATACAGTATTTTCATTTTGAGTCAAAAAAATCAGAGGCAGATCCAGAAATTTATGAAAGGGGGAGGGGGTTCTGAGAAGTGCAGGGATGTCGTTATATGCAGGGCGGAGGTGCGCGGCGCCGCCAACTCTTGACGTCTTGTGCCCATCCTAAAGCTACTTTTAAGGCCTTCTGCCCAGCCTCATACAAATTCTCCCGCCCACTTAAAATCATGAAGAAACACAAGTTTTTGCTCCATAAACCGTATTTCCCAGTGAATAAGCCGCAAATTTTATACGCGATTTTCCCCTCGAAGTTTGGGGTGCGGCCTATACACTAGTCGTTAACTTACTCCCAAAAAGTTCAGATCGCGAACGGCAGCAAAAATAAGGCGCCGTCTGTCTAGCTTGGGCCCATGCTCCTAGCCCAATTAATTAGCCTAGCGTTTGTTGAAGGGCTAGTATTTGTAATTATACTCGCTATACAGTGCTGTACTGTGATTCCTACTACATTTTCTACGACAGTCAAGCAATGGTTTGGGTTGTTTAAATAATTATTTTCATAGTTACTTTCACTCAAACAATATTGAAACACGTTTTATTCGAAATCGCTTCGCTCAAAACAATAAATAACCTTCTTTTCGGGAGTGTGGTCCTAGAGGTCACATGAGCAGCTTCATTTATGATGTCGCAACAAAACACACGTGGGCTGTTGAAACTTTCTGTTCGACGTCTGGTTCCCGGTGGCTTGTACCGTTATAGAAAGAATACTGATACCGCTATATTTCAGAATAAAAGCTTGTGAAATTAATTTATGCAATAAAACACGAGTTTTCTTGAAGTAGTTGTAATTATTTTACTGGAAATTAATTGAAGAAAGGCATACGTTCGTCCGTCTATCACATGCCTCCATTACATGCATGCTCTATATTTGAAGCTCTCTGCCCCCTCCCCCTCAACAACTAATATTGTGAAGAAATCTCCCCCACCCACCCTCATGTTCGTCCATCCGTCTATCACATGCCTCCATAACTAATGTTTTGATGAAATCTCCCCCACCCACCCTCAGGTTCGTCCGTCCGTCTATTACATGCCTCCATCACATGCTGTATGTGTATAGACGGTCAGTCCATCACATGCTGTAAATTTATGTGTCCATAATTTTAAGGTTCTCCCCCACCCCCACCTGGGACTGTCCATCAGATGCTGTATTATCTAACCATTAGTTTCCCAAACATCATTTGATGAAGCTATGCTGTAAATTTTTGTGTCCATAATTTTAAGGTTCTCCCCCACCCGGGACTGTCCATCAGATACATGCCTCCATCACATGCTGTATATGTGTATAGACAGTCAGTCCATCACATGCTGTAAATTTATGTGTCCATAATTTTAAGGTTCTCCCCCACCCGGGACTGTCCATCAGATGCTGTATTTTCTAACCATTATTTTCCAAACATCATTTGATGAAGCTATGTTGTAAATTTGTGTGTCCATAATTTTAAGGTTCTCCCCTACCCGGGACGCCCATCAGATGCTGTATTTTCTGACCATTATTTTCCCAAACATCATTTGATGAACTCCCGTCCCCCCCGCCAACCAGGTTCGTCCGTCCATCACATGCTGCCCCCGCCAACCCTTAGGTTCGTCCGTCCATCACATGCTGCATATTTATGTGTCCAGAATTTTTAACGATCATTTCTTGGAAAATAATTCAACAAATGTGGATTTTTATTGCTTGACGATAGGCTGGTGGTAGGCCAGAAACCTACTTCACGTAGGCCTAACGGTATAGTATATCAGATGTGTCTAGGCCTACACCAGGTCCGACGGTGTCGCCCAAAGAGAAGCCTACATTACATATGTGTCTAGGCCTAGGTACACCAGGTCCGTCAATCTTAGCCGTTAAAGTATACTAAAACACTAATAGAACACACAGAACACCTTCAAATAATAGCACAAGTAAGTGGCCGATATGCCACAACTATCTCGGTTCGCTCAATGTTTACTGACAGTCGCGAAAACAACATAAATAACTTTTCTAGGCAGCTCGCGACAGAAACAAAATGTCGGGAAAGTTTGACCCGACGCATGCGCAAATCAAATTTTCGACTAAAAAACGACTCAAAACTGGTGGTAGGGGGTATATGTTTTATCGCCTACAGCTTACATTTTTCATCTAACCGAAAAAACAAACACTTCTTGCACAATTGCATGTCCACAAGCAACTATCGAGCACAATGTATACCTGCCACTATGCACCGTTTCGGAGCCTATTTGTTTACAAATATGCTGACCTCTCTTGGTGTCACATCTCATACACACATTTTACATGTGAACCATTACATTAGTTCCATGTGACCTAAGGTCACAAAGGAACAAATAAAAGGAGAGTAAAGTGTCAATTTATTTACTTTGAGTTCCTCCGGAGCCAGAAGATCAGCATCGTTAACTGTTACCGGCGCAATATCCTCAATGGTTATGGTCGGCATATTGTGTACAACTTTGATCTCTGGTAATGGCTGTAAAGAATTAAAGAAAATTGTTTTCTATAAGCAGTGTTCATGACAATAATTTGTTAAGAAACATCTAATTAATAATGACTTGCATGATGAAGCTAACATAAACATTACAAAATATTGCTGCTCAATATATATGTACAGTATAACTAGTTACATAGTAAAAATTTAACCCTTTCCAGTCGAATGGCGTCGCGACGACGCCCTCTTTGACAGTACTTTATAGCAAGGGGCGTCGTACGTACGCCCTGTATAGATTTCTTGATAATTTGTTTTATTGCTATACTGCCCTGTATATAATTGTTTGAGAGTAATGTAGGAGTATTTCTGAAGAGGGCCTCCTATATTCAGACCAAATAAAATGCCTGCGCCCAGTAAAAACCCGATATTTAGTGTAAATGATGTAATTTTTTAGCTTTGGTACAGCCTCAGTCCTCTCGATTTGAGGACTCAGAGTAGGACTTACACTAGACTAAGGCGAGAGATGAAGATACATCTGCATCTGTACTTACTGGTTTTGGGATGTAATGGAAGTTGGACAATGCATCTAATTTGACAAATAAAGACTGCATCATCTTGCGGATCTCAACATGCTCCTTGTTCTCCTCTTCTTTTTTTTCCTGCAACAATAAAAAGTTCAACAAGTTTTTAGTTAAACAAGAAAAATGCAATGTTAAATTATTAAATAATTCCATCTGGTTTTGTATAGGGAATAATACTGTACCACCAATAGTTCCCACCAACTTCAATAATGATGCACTAGATGTTTCTTAAAGGTCAACTCAGACAGCATTGTACGACTCAACACGATGCAATTTGTTGTCGCTTCAGGTCTGTGTGAGTTAAACGCATATGCGATGGTTTGTGTCAGGGACAGTCTGAGTCATCTAGAATAATAACATGTTTAACCCTTTCCAGTCGTATGGTGTTGTGAGGACGCCCTGTTTGACCATACTTTATAGCGAGGGGCATTGTACGTACGCCCTGTATAAATTTCTTGATAATTATTTTATAGCTAGGCTGCTCTCTATAGGATTTTTTTGGAGTGATGTAAGAGTATTTCTGTAGAGGGCGTCCTGTATTCAGACCAAATAAAATGCCTGGGCCCAATAAAAACCAGACATTTAGTGTTGATGATGTAATTTCTCAGCCTCAGGCAATGGTAATGGGGCAGACTGGAAAGGGTTAATATTTCTCAGAACGGCATAAGACTGTCCCCGACGATGAATTGTGTCAGGCTGCTTCGTGCTTTATGCATGCTTTATTTTCACAACATCCACAAGAGTTCACTATCAGACCAAGTGAACTAACACAAGCTTTGATGAGGGTTTCATTGATAACATGATGAAAGTAATGGCCAGTCAGAAGCCAGAAAATCAAACAATAATACAAAAATGTTATGAGCATTAAATTGTGAAAAATATAGAAATAATAGCAAACAGTTTGGGAAGAATGTTATGAGAATTGTGGGAGGTTAAAAAGCCTTGTGGGAAGAATACAGAAATAGTTACCTGGGTTTGTTTTAAATACTCTTCTTCATAGATAGCACTAAGACTACTCTTACTCTTCTCTTGATTGAGTGTCACTCGTTTCTTGAATTCATAAACCTCCTCTTTTGGCTTCACCTTTCTCTCCACATCATCCCATGCTCTATCTTTGATCCTTTGTGTTATCATTTCTTCTAATGTCTGTGTAGTTTCCTCAGTAATAACAGGAGCTGGAGGGATTATTAAGAACAGACAATTTAGGCCTACATCAATAATTTAAAGAAAATGTTTGGCATATCATAATTCTATCCAACAACTCAGCTACAGTATACAGGCAGAAATTTATAACTCAAAATTATATAAAGACCAATATCTCTTCATAGAAGGATGAACAATGAACATATTAGTATCTCTTTGAGATTTGATATTAGCACTCATTTCATAATGCTGAAATTTTTAGGGTTATTCTTGATGGGTGTCACACCAAAAAAAAAGAAATCTAAATTAAAAATTTTTCTCTGAATTACCTGGGTTAGTGGTGACTTCAAATTGTATATCTTCGGACAATAAACTGTTTTCTGGCCTTTTTAAAGCTGTAGTTTCGCCAGACATTTGCCATGGCTTTTCTGCCATGTTTGCATTTTCTAACTCGGCAATCTTTTTCTTCAGCTAAAAAAAAATATCCACACAGATCATACTTAATTTCCAAAAGAAGTTTTTTAAACTTATAGTTAGCTGAAAGTCTGAAATATTTTAGCTCTGCTACAGTAGATGAACAGAGCTGGATGGACCATCAAAGGATAAAGGTATGGTTTCAAAAATAGGTTAAGTGAAACATACTTTTATCTGTCTTTTTTCGTGTCCTGATGTTTCTTTTTCTTCCTTTACACTTCCAAGAATATCTTCAAGATTTTCACCATCACTACCATCATCCTCTTTACTTTTTTTTCCTGTCTTCTTGAAATAAATTTCACTTTGGAAAATAACAACAAAAAACATATAGAACTTCAAATTGATATGTAGTGTAATACTGTATTGTATTAGATGGGTGTCCCATTCGGGCAGCAAATAAGGTCTTAATGCTTTGGGCAGCAACAACAATGAACAAAATAATATATTTAGTAAGTAGTAGTACCGGTAAGTATAATATACAGTATTTAGTTTTTTACACAGATCCTTCCTGCTTGTTTACTTCACATTGTATTATTTTGCACAAGAGACATTTATTAATAAAAAAAAAATATCTGTAAAGATCCTAGTGTAAATCCTTGAGTTATTGTATTTTTTACTACAGTAACCAGATCTTGAGATGCATCATGCCTCTATCATCAGTGTCAAGCAACTGTATACTGGTTCAAAAGTGATGTCTTCTGGCCATCATACTTTAAATAATATTACACTATCCAGATATTCAATATTAAAAAAAATATATAATTATTATTATATCATTTACGTTTCATCTTCATCTAGGACAACATCCCTTCCCCAGTCACTGTCCACCTCCGATTCTTCCTCTTCATTATCATCCTCTTCATCTTCATCTTGAACTTCATCTTCATCATCTTGGAAGTAATCTTTATAATGAAGTTCCCGTGCACTTTGTGTAACTGGTGCCTATAATTAAGTTACCATGAAAAAATATTGTTCATTTTACCATAAACATTGCCATCCTCCAATCATCCTCCTAATTTCACCACCAACCTCATCACCACCATCCTCTTATATACTGCATCCTCATCATCCCACCACCATTCCATTCTCATCATTACCAGCACCACCATTCTCATTGTTGCAACCACTGACATCCATCAAAATCTTAACAATCATCATTATCTTTATACTGTACCATCACCATACTTACTTAGTATTATCACTACTATCATCTTTGTTGTTGCCATTGTCACTATCAGTGTTTGTATTATATTTGTAATGCCCAGAGAAATGGAGTAGAATTCATATCTACTATCTTCACCTTTATCATCATCTTCATCATCATCATCATCACTGTCTCTTATACACATCTAGATGTGTATAAGAGACAGGAAATATGGTGAGCATTTGCAGAGACAACATAGATGAGTGATGAGCTTATGGCTGTAATTGCCATCATTGTGGAAGAAAATAAGATATACTGTAAAGACAGCAAAACTAATTCTATCATTAGATAAAAATTGTGTTACAATATATTACAATATAACTAAAAAAGATGCAGACTCGCAGCAGTAGTATTTGGTGGTGGGTGGTATACAACCTTTTTCTGGCTAGCTTTAAAAATTTATATTCCAATAAACATTAATTTTCTTCCATGGTACATACAAAAGGTAAAATAAGTTATACATGAAGTTATATAAATAAAAATGCATTGGGGGGACTGACTGGAGGGGTGTGATACAGTATCTATCTAAGATTAAATTATAATTTTTCTATTTTATTAAATTATTAAAGTCATTTTCGGCATATATATCTCTTCGGATGTTGCCCAGTGCAGGTTCGCAAATTTTAACTGCGCAATTAAGTACGACGAATCTTTTGCCTACCAGTGGAGTGCGCCACAAGCGTTTTAGCCAGGCTGATGTAAACATTGAAAGCGGTCTATTTTTTAGCATAATGCCCAAAATAATGCTTGCTATGCCTCGTAAGTTTTGCCGGTGTTTGCTTAAGACCGTAAGATTTGATTGGAAAGCTTAAGACTTACGGTGAATGCATACGGGTTGATTGGTCTGCATTAGGCACTTGTCAATTGTATTCCCCGCACCGCCACCTCCGAGCCGGGCATAGAGAGGATTTAGCCGGGTTATATACATGTGAAAGTCCCGGCAATGCGGGGCATCATTTTAACGTACATCCCCGGCTAATTGTCTGCCACTTACTGCCGTAGGCCCAGTAAAATGCACCGAGTGTAGGCTAGGTAGAACCAGACCCGGTTTGACAGCACTAGGCCTACACACCCGAAACCATGGCTACTCCAACGTGTAAAATTCCCTGCCGTTCCAAGGTTTGTTACATCTACAGGTAAATTTTAGGTACGTTCCGGCACTACAGTCTACGGGGACACAACTATGCGTACATCCCTGGCTCAGTCTTGGCTAGTGCCCCGCTGTGGCCCAGCTCCGGGGGGGGGGGGAGAAAGGGGTAGGATTACAACTGACAAGTGCATTAACGTCATAGCTAGAAAATGGAATTTTTGTGTTTAAATTAAGGTTGGGTTTTAGGATGGAGTACAAAAGTGCTTAAGTTAGCGCCCGCAGCCGAGCCGAGATGGTTCGCAGCATATGGATAGGCCTAGCTAGGCCTACTACTACCACTACTAGTACTAGGCTACTTAGTAACTGCCTACCTAGTGCCTAGACATAGGGCTAGGCCTAGTAAAGTAGTAGTAGCAGAGAAGCTAGGGAGCCCAGGGTCGCTAGCTAGCCTAGGCCGTTTGGTCTGCCAAAAACAATCATCAGTGTATCGCGCAAAAGAGAAAAACAGCGTAATCAAAATTTTGTATCAATACTTGTTTACATACACAGCAAACTGTTCTGGTTTTGAGGTTGTGGTTAAGAAAACACTAGCAATACTTTCTAGGTGTTCTGCCATGCTGAAAGGAAAAGAATCTTCCTGCTGTATCTCCTCTCCCTCCTCGCGGCCATGTGTACAGGGTTTCCGCCCTCAAGAGTACAGTACAGTTTAATTTGACATGACACATGCACACCAGCCGGAACGATTTGTTCACTGAAAATCCATGACGTGTTCACGTGGGGGTCGAATAGCAAAGACGAATTCTCTTTCGCAACGAGTCCTCTGCGGACTACAAAGTATATTTTTGTCTAAGAGAAAAATATCAAACCAGCATCATGGTAAGGGCTTATTTCATTATGTTTTGTAGTCAACTTATTCATTGATTATTATTTTAGCATAATTTTAAAAGATTGGTGAAAAATATTATATGATTTTGATGATTTAAATGGATTTCACTGTCGAATATTTATCTTCCGGTGTTTCATATTTGGTTGGAGGAATAGATATTGCACAATACACGGCAAGGCCTTACAACAATCAATAACCAATTATGTTAAAATAGTAGTAGTAGCTTAGGTAATGATGAATTAATTTTCCAGCGTAATTCAAGTAACTGATTAATATTATTACTGCAATACAAATGTTCGGTAATTTTTTATCAGAGTTTATTGAAAAGTTTCAATTTCTATTGTTTGGCAGCCCACAACCAGGCAACAATATGGTGTGTGAAGTCAAAGTTACACCCATTTGACTTTAGTATTTATCACAGGATAATAATTAACAGGCTTATTTTTATGCAGGATTATATTTTAAAAAGCAATGATCTCATACAAATAAACATTTTAGGTCTAAGTTGTACGTCTTCTGTAAGCAGTATAAATCCCACAATCACACACCAATCGAATGAATAGGCTAGGGATAATAATTAAAATAGATTAGTTAGAATATTGTATGCTCGTAAAGCGGTAACACTGTGTTATTTGTTTTTTTAATGGTAAAAGATGATTTCAAAGAATGTATGGCTTAGTTATAAATTAGATCCTATGCATAAGTTCCAGTTCTGTTAATATTGCAACTTGAATTGAAATAATTTGTTTTCATTATTTTTTTTCTCTTGTTGTGAACCCACAATCTATCAAATTTAACTTTTTTTTAAATTTCAAAACATAACAATTAAAAAAAAAAACAGTGTTCACCAATAAGTGAAAAAAATGTGATACTGGACATTGTAATTGATGATGTTAAACTAAGTAGGTGAGGTTTTTTATCTTCGGAATTGAATTCACACAATCTGATTGGTACTTAATTAGCTACCAATGTTATTAACCAGTCAATTCATAATGAGTTTAGCAAATCACAGTTAAGTATTGAACCTGTTGTTTATTTTGGCTAGTTAGTATGTTTAAAGAACTTAATATTTTTACTACTATGTTTAGACTTATAAAGAGGCATTCCTACTTCCCTTACAGGTTAACTTTACAGTTGATCAGATCCGAGCGATCATGGACAAAAAAGACAACATCCGTAACATGTCTGTCATTGCTCATGTGGATCACGGCAAGTCTACCTTAACTGACTCACTAGTCAGCAAGGCTGGTATCATCGCAGGTGCCCGTGCCGGCGAGACCCGGTTCACAGATACACGCAAGGATGAACAGGACCGTTGCATCACCATCAAATCAACGTAAGAAGCATTACTGCCTCATAGAATTGTAATTTAATTAGAAAGAACTTTTTTTTTAAACGCCGTGGCTAGACCAACTATTTTTACTTGAATGAAGCCAATGAAGAGCCAGAATGTGCATGACCGGCATTGCAGATGCCCCACACAACAGTGTGTGAGGTGAGCGGTGTGACTAGCGAATGATGTACTTAACACATAATTAGTTAGGCAAGGGTACAGTATTTTCTTATAATACTGTCATCGATAAATATGCGCATGTGTAATATTGGTTATTAATGTTTTATATTCTTTTTGTACACCTTATGACTAGATATTGTTTGGTGCTCATAGTTTGATATCCTTGTTATCTTTTATTTATTACTGTATATGTTGTTAACACTTGTAACACTACCAGTGGAATGTAATTTCTAGTTTTTCCAGACAATAAAATTATCTAAAATCTTGTAAGGGTCCCACTCAGTAATAAGTGTCATGTCATGTCTGTATAGCCATATCAAGGAAGGCATGAATCCTCAGGATGAGGCCCAGGCCAGCTTGCTTATGCCCTCGCTTACAAGATTGACATACATCTACTCAGTCTTTGGTCTTATCTACTTACATGATGACAACACATGCACTAAAAAAACTTAATTTACTGTAAATAAGAGGATTCTTATAGGAGTACCAGCACTTTACTGTTTAAATGGGCCTACATCAAAAGTATATTCGACAAATTTGACAAAAAATCGTGATTATTAAATCACGATTGTGGAAACTCGTTCTCTCGATCTGAATTCTGGCGTAACGAACAATGTTTACGATTGTGGGAAGTACCATAACAGCAACGAAGTCTACGTAAAGTTTGGTAAATCAAAGAGGTACGATTATGCATGTGCATTCAAAGTGTATGAATATGTTGGTCGGATTGTAAAGCATGGTAATTTCGAATATATTATAACCTAGGCTTCTTGGACTAAAAATTGGGATGAGATTTTGGGGGTTGACCATGGAGGAATTCGTTTTTGACTTATAGATGCCACCAGATAGCAGGGCTACCGCCAAACGAAGAATCCAAGCAAGGCCTAGGCCTTGCTTAGATTTTTCGCCAAGCTAAGATTTTAAGCAAGGGCTAGAGTTTGGTACAGGATTCAGTCCTTGATTGGAAATGGCTATATATCGATAAATGTCATGAACCATACGCCTATTTATCGATGACAGTACTAAGTAGGCCTACAGTAGTACTTTTTAATGTTCTAATTACCCAGTACATCTATCGCGTTTCACCACTCATCATGGGCAATTTGCAATAACAGTCATTCTGGCTCTTCATTGGGTGATGGTGAAGTAATGCCATTTAACTTACCTTTAGCAAATTGAAGTAGAAATACAGTACCATATCGCTAGCCACGGCGTGTTTTTTTTATGGCAATGCCAGTATTAATCCATACTTCAAATTAAGTTAAACAGACATACTGTGAAACTATTTACTTAAAGTAAGCACATTTGTAGTAGGAGAAACCTATATCATATTTTGTCCCTTACTATTAATATACTTCTTCTACAGCGCTATATCTCTATACTACGAATTGAGAGAACAGGATTTGGAATACATCACCCAAAACAAGAGTGGTAATGGATTCTTGATCAACTTGATCGACTCACCTGGACACGTAGATTTCTCATCTGAAGTTACTGCTGCACTGCGTGTCACTGATGGTGCCCTTGTTGTTGTGGATTGCGTCAGTGGTAGGTTAACTGGTGTTTTGCGTCAGCAGAATATAGAGGGAGCTGTTTAAATACGGGGTTTTAGCCTTCAGTTGGATGTTATTCTTTTCTTCTTTTTTTAAAAATAAAAATTGGGATTTTCAAGAAAGCAAAAAGGGATAAGTGAAGCTAAGTCATATGTTTTGTTGAAAAAATTTATTTTATAGAAATACAAAGATTGATACAAATACAGTACATTTCAGTGAATTAAATTGGACAGTTATTAAGGTTGTATTTGGTTGTTTTTAGGTGTGTGCGTCCAAACAGAGACTGTGTTGCGTCAAGCTATCAGTGAACGTATCAAACCTGTTGTGTTTATGAACAAGATGGACCGCGCTTTGTTGGAACTGCAGCTGGAAATGGAAGATCTTTACCAGACCTTCCAACGTATTGTTGAGAGTGTTAATGTCATCATTGCCACCTACAGTGATGAAGATGGCCCTATGGGTAATATCCAGGTAAAGTTATATACAGTAGAACCCCTCATTTACGAACCCCGATTTTACGAATTCCCGATTTTACAAACGTAATATAAAAGTGATGACGTAGAAATTGAAGCGAAAGATTAAAAAAAAAAAAAAAACCCCGCTCGAATGTACCTGTTATTACCATGCATACAACACACCACACCATACTATACAGTACTATGTAATTCTCAAGTGAAGGAGGCCCTCTAAC